TTCCTGCTTACAGGGAAAATTTCAGCAGTAGGTTGCATCGATTTTTGATACCTCTATGGAACTGGGGTGGCTTGGCCTTGACTGTCTCCCAGACACCCACCCAGCTGCTCTCTCACCCCCATCACAGGAGTTAGTAGTTTCCACTTTGGGATGCTAATGCCAGGATTTGCAACGGGTACCTGTCTAGAAGCAGGTATTACAGATATTTGCTGGTAGGAAGTAATTTTCAAGGTTAGACATCAGACACTCTAGTGTCAGGAGGCCCTGAAGGCAAACAAGTTCTTCATTCCTTCTTCCAGTGCTTTTCTTCTGTTTTTCATATTTCACTTAAAATCTTCATGCTTTCTGTTAGTGTTTCTGCTCGTACCTACCCTTCTCAGTCCTTTCTGCTTTGAGCACACTAATGTTTTCTTGCTTACGGGCAGCGTTGAGATGTTCTGGTGCTACAAGAAAGCAGAAAGCTTTGTCACTCCCAGAGACAAAGCGAAAGTGTCCGCAGGCAGATGAGTGGAACGGAAACGTTGAAGGGTCTGAGTGCTTGGCGAGCTGTGGTCCTGGTGACTGTGCAGTTTACAGCCCACAGGGCTGACCCTCCCCAGCTCGCTCACATTTGTTCAGACTTTGTGGTCCTGCTTCATCCTGTGGCATCAGCACCATCAGGGTCACAGCCAGGGAAGTATGAGTGTTCTTATGAGCTGAGCAGCATACAATTTGAGGAAAGATGTCCAATTTCCTGGAAATCCTGTGCAGTGTTAAAGGAGTATGATCTGCATGTGTGTACGTGGCTGATAGAAGTAGACAAAAAAAATGGATCTTCCGAGTTCCTGAGTGTTTACGCATTCCAGGGCCAGTTTGACCCTTCCTTGTCATGATTCATGCTGGTGCAAGATTCAGACCAGTACATTTCTCTGGATTTGAATGCCCTCAAGAAGTGTTTATCAGTATTCCACAACATCTCATGGAGCCTGTGCTGCTGTTCAGTGGAGATTTTTTTTGCGGAGTTGAGGTGCTGCACTACAGTTTCAGTGACGCATTTCTTGCTTTGTTTGGGATGCTTTCCTAAGCAGGTCATTTGTGTTTGCAAGCATGAAAGGGAAGGTTTTAATGCTTAACTATGTGTTGTATTTATATGAGTGTCCATTGTTTTTCAGAAACTTTCCATTTACTTTAATTTCTGATCACTTTTGTTCATATAACTAAATATGGAATGGTGTTTTACTTTCTGCTCCTTACTTGTTCTTCAGTGACTCCCTCGTCCTGTGCACAAGACATACACCCAAGATGCTTAGTTTTCAATCTAACCTATTGGCAACTCACTTGTAATTACAATAGGAATTTTAATCCTCTGTAAAGAGGACTGGTGGATGTGTAATTAAGTAATGACCATCTGTGGGATAAGTGTAGCAAAGTGAAAGCCGTAAAAATTCAGAGCAGCTGAGGTGGAACTTCATGGCTTCCCTGCTGCACTTGGAAGAGGCAGTTCTGCCAGGCTGATAAAGTTAAGGAGATAGTTGAAGATCTTGAGAGAGGACAACTGTTGGGGAAGAACAGGAAGAGTAGTGGCTGGGAGCTGGAGGAAGATATTGTTACCACCTTCTGATCTGATGATGAAGAGAATGAGATCAGGTCTGCAGGGGATGTTCAGAGCCCAGCTGCTGCTGGATGGTGCTATCCTTCTCTGTTACCCTGAGCTCTTCCCCTAGTGTGTGTCCCTTGGCAGCAGTAGCAGAAATCCCAGTTCTAATGGGCAGATGGAAGGAGCAATGGGCTGGGTTGCCCTGGGAAAAGGAGCAGGCCCAGCCGGCCATGTGCCTGCTCTCCCTTTGGCAGGCGGGTGTTTAGTGCTAGCAGGATGGCTTTGCCTGTGCCAGCCTGACCAGAGAGCTGCTTGTGGACAAGCTGGCCTCTCAGGCACCGTGGTAGGAGTGCTCTTCCTGGTAGCCGTGGTGTTTCCTTCAAGGGCTGAGCAGGCAGGACACGGAGCTGTCTCCGTGTTCTCTGATGCTGTTTGCTTCGTTTGATGAACTCCGATGGAGTTAATGGGGCTGCAGTGAGTGAGCCAGCCTGGGCTGGCTGGGGGTGGATCCTCTGATGTGCCAGGCTTGCTTGGTGCTGTCTGCTGGAGTTTTCCACAGGGACTCCTGCCTGTTTTAGGGAGAACCTCAGCTGTGCTCTGGCATCTTAGTGTGAGGGAAGGGTAAATGTGTGCAGGGACAGGGAGCAGAACTGAATTTAACCTACAGTCTTCAGGGACAAGGGTTATCATCAATGACAATGGGATATCATAATGAGTCCCTACAGCCATCACACTGTGGCATTAGGTTGCTACTAGTGCAGAGCAGTGTGTCAGGTGCCTCCTCTTCACTGTCACACTGAGTGCTGCATTTAGGCCGTCTAAAATTAGCCTCTAGCCTTAAACCTCAGTCATACACCTGAATCTTCCTACAGCTGCCTTAATGCTGCCTGCATGGAGGGTCATAACCCTTTTAGTAATAAGAAGAACACTGACTTTTGAAACAGCTCTATCCATTTTATATCCATTCCCTCATCTTGAAACATTCCTACCTGTTCTTTTGTGCGTCTGTTCTTTTAGCATTGCTGCCTTTTACTGTGTAAATGAAGAAATCTCAGATCACTGCAGAGTGAGGGTGAGTAGCTCACCTGTACAGATGCAGCTGCTGTTGAAAAGCAACCTGAGTAAATATGTTACAATTCTCCTAAATACTGAGATAACGTCTAGCATGTAGGTTTAAATAACAGGTAGTTCTTGATCTGCCATAGCGTTTCCAGTGACTCAGTGTACCCCCCCACCCCGCTGCAGTAATTACAGAAGATTGTTGCAGTTCCTGACTCAGAGGGAGACTTCCTTCTAAGGCTTCTGGCCATGCTGGAGCTCCAGCTCTGCAGCTGTATGGAGCAAATTGTGAGGGACATCAGGGTAGCAGGCCCCAGGACTGCAACAAGAATAATGTGGGAGTAGTGTACGTTATAAACTAGTGATAGCAAGCCATAAAAAGAGAGTTTGCTTTGGATTTGTGGTCAGGAGTTTGGTTGCCAGAATCTTGGCCATGATCCTCATATCTCTTGAAATTGTGTGCTTACAAGAAAGACATTCCAGGTACAAATCTGATGGCTTCTCTGGCAGGATAGTCTGGGAAACTACCAAGTGTAAAAATTAAAAAGGAGTAAGTGTTCTCTGACCCAGATTTATTGTGTTTTTGTGGCTTTTGAAGAGAAAGTGTCTTCCTGCAGATTGTGGGAGCATGAGGCATGAAGCTTTGGGGACAGGCCTGGGGATGGGCTCAGCTGTGAGTAAGGTTATGAGGTGGGAGCCGTAGGGATAGGTTCCACAAACTCTATGAGCCCCATCATTCTCCCCCTAGGGAGGAATTCAGCAGGCACTGCAAGTTAGTACATCACATATGCATTGATGGTCTGCAGCTGCGTTGGCCACTCTGGCAGCCACAGAATGGCAGCAGGGATGTGCTGCCAAATGTGACCTGACAGCCCTGCCCAGAGGGTGCTCAGGAGTGCAGGGGAGGCCAGCAGAAGAGGACCAAAGAGCTCAAGTCTGTGGTTTCCCTCATGAGCTGTCAGATCTGACAGGCACATCAATAGGTCTTGATTGGTTTAATGTTCGTGCAGCCTTCGTTTGTGATGCAGCTCTTCAGATTTAGTAGAGCTGCACTCTTGGTGCTGCTGCAAGCAGCTGTGCACAGCTGGCCATCAGGTCTCTGCTTGTAAAATATGTGTGAAGGTTGTCTTGCCATCAGCAAAGTGTATTCAGAAGGAGGTCTGTGGAGGTTGAGCCGAGTTTCTTAGAGGTGTGGATAGATTTTTCTGTGCCTTAAATACTGTAGTGAACCCCACTGTCTGTGCTGAGGTGAGTAAAATCTGCAAATAGGCTTTGCATTGTTTCAGCTTAAGCACAAGGATATTCTCTAATTCCTTTTTCAGTGTTACTGTGTAAGAATGAGGGTCTTGAGATTTTTTTATGATTGTGGTGCAGTGTTTTCAAATGTTTAGGCCAGAAAGCATTACATGCAGACATGGCATTTCCATCTGCTGCTCATCAAAGAAGAGAAATTTCATCCCCAAGCACTGCTGTGGCGTGTAGTGAAAACATGGCTCTGGTGAGCATCTCTGTCAAAGTGCTAGTGCACTTGGCTCACAAACATCAGTTAGATGCCTCAGAGGTCTGTGAAATAAATAGAAGAGCTGGAAGCCAGGAAGTGGGATGCTTTTTAGTATCATTAGGGCAATGCAAAAAAGAAGACTGCACATGAAATGCTTTTACTCATTTGGTTTTAAGCTCCAGATCTGTGTGAAGTAGCACATGCAAGCTGAAGCCCTTTCCTGGGTTTAGATGCCTTCACCATCCCTCTTGCAATAGAGTGCCAGCTCACTGTCTTAGTGACAGAGAAGGTGAAGTTCATGGTACCTATTACCAACATTACAGACGAAATGTTTGAAGTGCTTGCCTAGAAAGTAGGAATCTGGTCTTGTCTTGCACTGCCTAAGGGAGTTTCCAAGCCACCAACTGGAATAGAAAGTGGGAGTGCAGACACTCACTGGAACTGTGTGGGTGCAGTGAAGACTGAAGGATCCCATATGGGTGAGTCTGAAACTCATTTGAAAAGGCAGAGTGATATATATATATATGTATATAAATAAATAAATAAAAATGCCCCATCTGTGTGAGTTTTGTTTTGTGTTTGTTTGGCTTTTTCTTTATTTTGATGTTAAGCAGCCTGACTGAGGTGCTTTGTGCCAGCAAGGTGAATGAATGTTCTCAGAGAGCCCAGCCAGTTCAGGTCATTTGAGGAGGTGTGCTCTCTCTATAAATTTTGAATGGCCTGAAGTTGACACTGGCTCCAAGATGTTGAGTAGTACATTTTGGGTGTGCAGGTACTTTTATGGATCTGAGATGTAAATTTTCAAAGCAATGGAAGTGACTGCATGGCTTGTGCAAACTTTCAGCTGCCGATTTCTCTTTTCAGGCTGAGTTGCACCATTAATGACTGAATGGGCACTGCTGAGAAGGCTTGTCCTCACACCATGACAGCTGATGAGTCAGAAGCTGGAGAGTTAGCTCTGGAGCCTCTCCTCACATGCAAGCTATGTCTCTGTGAATATTCCCTGGATAAGATGACCACTCTTCAGGAATGCAGCTGCGTCTTTTGTACAGCGGTAAGATCTGTAAATACACTTGCATTGCAGAAGCAGGGTAATGGAAGATGGATAGAACTGTGAGATGGGATTACTTGTCGTGTATAAGCATGTGTTACACCCATGCTGACACAGGATGCTTTTCTAAAGAGCATTTGGTGTTAGCTTGTCTTGCCTTATTTAAAAGATTGCTCTTGTTGTTTAACTTTTGAAAATTAGTAACTAACATATGTTCCAGTAGCAAGTACTAGTAAAACCCAGGAATAAAAGGGAAAAAAGTTGCAGTTTACGAGTGTTGGAGAACATACACAGTTTGCATGCAATCTCAGTATTTACTTTTTTTTGAAGCAAAACCTTGAAATATCATAGGATAGCTGTGAGCTTTTTTCCCCTTACTATCCTTTACTGAGTTCTTAGGGACCTTTAAAGTCTTCTATGTAACTTTTAAGGGCAATCAGAAAACCTAAACAAAAATGGCCTTTTGAACCTTTGCCTCTGTGCTGCAGAGATGTTGCTCAGGTCATGCGTTGCCTATAGTAGTCAGTAAGGACTTTTTGGCCTGCAAATTCAGATCAAATAAAGCTGGTGGAAATGATAGAGGGAGAAGTTGAACAAGCTGATAAAAGACACTACAGATAGTGGTACTCTTATGGTCTCTTTGTCAGCATGGGAAAAATGGACCTTGTTTCTCTGGTGATAGTGACTTTGATGTACCTCACTAATGGTAACTAATGTACCTGACCTGAAAACAGGTCAGAAGTCACTGGAGGATGCTGGTGTGGTGGTTTTTTGTTGTTTTTATTGTTTGTTTTTAATTTGTTTGCTTGTTTTGTTTTTTATTTGGGGGGGGGGGGGGGGGGTGTTCTTTTTTAACTCTAGAATAAATGTACTTGGTTTTATTTTTGAAAAACAAATTGTGGATAAGCACCAAGCAAGTATGTTTATGTTTTACCCTTGATTGTTTACATTCATGAAGAAATTGGATATTTGTGAAGCCAGCTAGGGTGAGAATATCTTCACTTACACTGGATTCAGAGTAGCTGAAACAGGATGAAAATCTAGCTGTGTATTTGAAGAAACTAAGATAAGATTGATTAATATGCATTTCAACCTGAACTTCATGAAGTTTGTTTTCCATACGAACTTGCACGAAACATTTCTGTATTTTAGTTTGTAACAAAAGTTTGAAGAACATGTAACCTAAAAGGTAGATGTGAAGATACTGCTTTAAATACAAAAAACTGCAGAAAATTGGAGAAGTTGATACTTTTACAGTGGTCCCAGTCCTATCCCAAGAACTCAGTATCTCTGATTTAGTATTGTTAATGGTACATGAACCTCAGTGCTAGCTGGGTAGAGTTAACCCTTAGGGAAGCATGGCTGCCAGGCAGAGCTGGACTCTGCACTCCAACAGGACGCTGGCCAAAGGGAGAGGTCAGGGATGGCTGTGCCTGCATGTCTCCTGTTGGTGTCACAGCTGCCATCACATCCATACACTCCTTCCCTGGCCAGCACCAGAAGAGAGTCCTGTGAGCCTGGTGCTCCAGTGCTGTGGCAGCGTCAAGGAAGGTGCAGTCACAGTTGTTTGGCATCTGCGCAAACGTGGCTGACTTTGAACCCAGAGCCAGCCATGAGCGAGCCCGAGTGCAGTTGGGAGAAGCCTTTAGACACGCTCTATTTATTTCAGTGGGCATAATATGCCTCAGTTGTGTTTACGCTCCCAAGTCCAGTGTTGGTCTGACTGTTGCCTGTGTCCCAATGTCCTCCCAATGGATGTGTCTGGGCTGATGCATGCTGAGACATGTAGATCTTACATCCTGTAACAAAGAGGGCTCTGGAAACTTTTAACCTGGCTACATGGCTCTCTGTCTTGAAGCCAGAGCAGTTTCTGGGAGGCTATATGAGTTGCATTTTTGGGCGGCCTCCAAAAAGCAGTGTCAGGAGCAGCTTGACATGGAGTGCTGGGACTTGCAAGGGGGACTGCTTGGGGCACAGCCTGCAGCAGCTCTACTGGTGTGCCATGCCCTAAACTTCCTCTCACCCATGCCAGAATATCTAGATACCTTCACACTACACTTAAGAAAAACTTTGGGGTAAGAATATGTGCTGTGAGCTATGGGGTTGAGCACCAATCAGTTTTGCAGCTTTTCAGCTAGCAATGCTTTCAGCTTGTATAGCTTATTCTTCTGTCACTAAGGGTAATTTTATAGATCCAGAAGTAGTATTAAATTTGAAATAGAAAAGGGCTTGACATGGAAATAATAGATTTTGCTCAAATAAGCTGAAACAATTGCTTTTGTTAATTTTTTGTTCTGTTACATGTGAAGTATTCTTTTTTTTTTCCTTCTACTGAAATGGTGATGCTGCAATGATGATTATTTTTCACAGTATTTGTGGCTGTGGAAATAATTGGAAATTGTTACTATTTAGATATCTGTGGGAGTGAGGTTACATTTCCTTTCCATTTGTAGTCTGTAAAACCAAGGCATTCAAACAACTTAGAATTGTGTACAGCTATTTTTTCAGCTTAGAAACTCTTGCAATAAACAAAATACCCCATAAAAGCTGTGTTCTAGCCAAAGTAAGTAAACTGTGCTTTAGAATGTGTATGTTTGCATTTTGGTGGAATGTTGCTAGTAGGGCAGGAGTTTTTCAAATAACTGTAAACATTTTCACTCTCTCTGTTCTCAGCAGAAAAAGCAGATGGCTTGCAGAACATACTTGCCATCTTACTTGGTAGCTCAGTCAGGTCTGAAGAGGCATCAGCCTCATGTTTTTCAACATGTGTTGCACTTGGCATGAGATTCCACTGCAGTGTGAGATAAAGCACACATTTACACATCCCAAGAATTTGGAAATGGCTGTAGTGTACCTCATGACTTGGTTTCATTGTGTTCAGATTTGTATTAGTTTTGAATGACAGACTGATCTCTGAAGAGGGTTGGGAAGAGATGTGAGATATATTTTATCTGTGAAAGTTTTAGAGGACCGAACTTCACATTATTCAGTTCATTTCCTGTATCTGTAAAATCTTTGCAGAGTGCCATGCTGTGGTGCACACTTTTAGATACGGATATTCAGCAATATCTGTACTGCTCAAGCTCCATGATTTTATGGTGCCTTTGTCACCTTTACTTATCCCTTTCCCGAAAGGAGAGGGGGGGTCTCATCTGTTCCTGATACTGCTCATCTTGTTCCTTGTCTTCCCACTCATCCTTGTATATTTGGGGGGGGATGTCCTTCTTATCAGCAGGCCCTTAGGTTTACCTTTTGTTGCAATTTTCTCTTCCTTGGATGTGCACTTACTCAGGTTTTTGCCCCCGCAGTGGTCATGGTGCTCACATATGTATGTGAAATAATTATACACTGTGTCTGTCCACACCATTATAGTGTTAAAAAATACAGTATTTAATTGCACTTTAATGCATCTGGGTCCATAGCAAACTAATAATAATTACTTCTGGATTGAGTCACTTACAGAATGATACTTTGAATATTATACTTATTTCTAATAAAGGTTCCTAAATGTTTGCTCTTTTCGTTCCTTCTTTGCCCAGAGAGCTCTCGCAGTGCCTCACTCAGGTAAGACTCAGGAGTGCTCTGGTGGGGCAGTGCAAGGAATGGACGGGCCACACTCCCCACTTTGGCTTTGCACAGCGCACTGGGTGTTGCCTGGGCTTTGGTGCTCATTAGACAGTCTGGAAAGTGTGCATCTAGGAGACTCCTTCCTTTTCAAAACATGGGTGAAACTGGGAAAGCAGCAGGGAGAGACAGTGAGTGCTATGATCACGTGCATCTTGCATCCCCTGGGCTAGAATTGCCCTGGTGTCTAGCACAGCACACTCTACCCTATGGAAGCGCTAGAGAGAAGTGCAGGACTAGCAGTAACACTGGAAATACCAAGGGCCCTATGAAAGACTCGGTGTGAGTCTGTAGCCTGTAGGCAGTTGTGAAGGTCAGGTTTTAGCAGGTGGGATAAGATTGCCCTGGTGGCAGTGGTGACAGGAGGGAACCAGTGCAGTGCTGTTGCAGAAATGTGGTCTTATGGGTCAGTAAAAAACCCAGGGTTGACTTTCCCCTGCACACCAATTCTTTCTGGTTGTCTTTCATCTTTTCTTTGTCTCCTCTTAAGTATTTCAGGGCCCCAATGAGAGCCAGGTGATCAATAAATGGGATTGCTGCTATTTATGTCAAGCAGCAGCTTATGTCCATCTATCTTGTGTATAATTCACTGGCACAGGGTTTGAGATGTTGAAGGCAATGTGTAACAAACAGAAAACAGAAGACGCTTTCAAGTATGTTATTCTGTGTTGTTGGCACAAGTTTGTGCAGAACTAGCATGATTCACCCTTTTTTTTTTTTTCCCCCAAGCAAATTCTTTGTTGAGTCTTGTACTTTTGAGAATTGTGTGAGGCAACTGAGTTACAAAATGTGCAAAACAAATACTGTGAAGATCTACCTGTTTGTTATTTTGGTGCACACAATGCAGTCCAAATGAGATTAAATTTCAATGCAGCCTTAGGAGAAGGAGAAGTTAGCATGCAAGCCCAGGTAGCTTCTGTGCTCTTTTGTGCTTCTACAAGTAGGCGGTGTTCCAAAGGCAATTGGAGAACAAGATTTTCTGCTGTAGCTGTGTATGACAGCAAGGCTAGGGCTAGGCATGGGCTCAAAAGGCTCCTTTGCTGCTGTGGGCAGTGTGGTACCATGGGCAGCCACCTGCCTGGTCCCTGGTGGGCCTTCAGCCTCGGAAAGAGGGTGCTGATGGCTGCTTTTACTAGAGGAGAAGAAGAAACTCTTCTTATTTTCTCTTAGAGAAATAGGAGTTTCTCTGTTGGTACTTCATCAACAGGAGGCTCTAAGGCTCCTCTGCTTTCCTTAATCTTTTCAAGAACAGCTGTGCATTGTCCTCCCTCCTTTGGGTGGCTGAATAGTGATGTTTGGCCCTTAGCGCTGTCAAGTTTCAGATTTTTTGTGGAGGGGAGCACTGGAAAAAGTAATGTGAGGGGTCTTTGCAAAAAACA